TGTCATGAGTCTTTTGGGACAAAGGAGTCTAAGTAGAAGGGGTAGGGTCCATGACTTATTTTTTAATATTAAAAGAGGATTTACATTCTCAGAAAACTCAGGATCACTGTCTAGGACTGTCTACATCTGTTGTGATAGCCCACCAAACAGGTTAAAATACAGTTGATTACAGACTTCTGTAATCACATCTCAGGTCCCATCACCTTACTTAATGTTGAAGTGTTTCCACAGTTTTGTAGTTTCCTAATTTACGACCACAGATGGTTAATTACATCCACTACCATTCTGACAAGCTAGGTTACTAAAAGTAATCTTAACTCCCTTCATTTAAAGTTCTTGGGAATCTCCAAAGCAACGTGAACAGGGAGGGGGTTAAGATTAATTAGGTTTCTAGAAGGAGTAGGTTTTGAGGTGGAATTTAAAGAGCATTTCACAGACAGCACTTCAGGGGCTGCGGAAACAGCTAAGGCACATATGGAGGGATTGATAATCCCATTGAGGAGCCCCTAAAATGAATACGGCTGTTATGATGTGAGATAAGGCAGATTGAATCCATGCTGTGAATGGTTTTAAACACCAAGCAGAGGCAACGGGGAGCCCTCGAAGGCTCTGAGCAGGTGAGCGGCACGACCGGATTGGCTACTGTAATGGCGATCAACATTTTAATTTCTCCGGCGATCCCATCCGACCTCTGTCCGCCCCTTAGACCGGCTTAGCGGTAGGTGGTGGCGGAGCGCTTCCGCAACGCGGTCCCTGGGGTCACGCCGGCCGGTTCACGGATGCTGCCCAGGCCGGGCTGGGGACGCAGAGCCGCCGCCGCCGGGCGCTGCACCTGGACCCGGCCCGACCGCGGATTGGACGGCTCGGGTGACCCGGTTGTATCGCGAGATGAGATTGGCAGCGACGGGGCCGCATGTGCCCCCGCGCTGGCTTTGTACGCGGAGCCGCCTGCCGGTCCTTTAACAATGGGCGGCGCGAGCGCACCGGCGCTGGGCCCGAGCTGAGGCCGGCGCTTCGCGGCCGACTGTCCGCAGCATGAGCGGGGCTGGCGTCCCCCGCACATCGGCGGGGCTGGGGCTGTGAGGGCCGCGGTTCCGGGTAAGGGAGGCCTCTGTGGGGATCGGAAGGCCTGGGCTGGGCGCGGGGCACTGGAACCGCCCTGCCCGGCCTTTTGTTCGCTCTTCTGGGGCCGCGCGACCCTATACGCTCCTCCACACTAGGAGGCGGCAGCCTGGGTGCGCGCCGTGCCGGGCCGCGGGGAGGCTCCCGGGCGGGCGGGAGCGCCCGACCGTCGGCAGCGGGTATCCAGAGGCGGGCGGCCTTTCGTCCCCGGGTTTCTCCGCGGGAGGTTTTCACCTCAGGGACTGTGACTGATGTCAAGTCTCTCCGCTCCTCAGAGCCGGCGGGAGAATTCGAATTCTGGACGCGGGGAGCCCGCAGCCGGGCCTCCCCTTCCAGCTTTCCCGAGCACGCACCCCGGTCCGCGCCCTGGGAACTTGGCCCAAGTTAGTCTCCTTTTGCCTGGCATGAGCCCGGCAGTTCTCAAAATTTTAAGCCAGCCTCTCCTGGCCGGGTAGCGCGGCCTTAACGTGTGGCGTCAGGGAGCTGGCATGGACAAGTCTGGTGAAGATGAACAGCCACCAGGGTGGCCTAAGGGCACAGCCCCCGGGAAGGGGGCTTTTATAGAGCTATTGGAGGATGTAGAAAACTTAAGATACAGACTTGAAGAAAGCAAAGCCGAAGGAAAAAATTTCAGGAAAGTATAACTATAGGACACTATGTGCCTCAACACTGAACAATGTTTATGTAGTCAAAGCAATGCAAACAACTGAAAACGAGTGTAACCAAAAATGTGTTAAAATTACATATAAGGGATATGGAGGAAGGGGAAAAGTGTGTGTGTGTGTATGTAGTAAGTAATGTAAAGTATCTGAATCTTCACTTTCCAGGACGATATGTAAACATATCTAAAAATGACAAATCATAATTGTAGTATAAGCATGTTATTTTGAAAGATGATAGCAAACACCATGAGAAATAGCTGAAAGAGTTCAGTGGTTACCTCCTTGGAATGGGACTTGAGCATGGGGAGGAGATGGAACAAGGAACTATTGTTGTTTATTATATACCTTTTAGAAATATTTGACTTCTTAATGGGTGTACATGAATTACTTTGATACACTTTAAATTTATTACTGTTAAAACTGGATAATGATCAGAGCCTTATGGGATGTGTTGGGTCTCTTTCCCTACACAAGACTTGTCAACACGTGTGTGGCAAAAGCAAAGACTGTAAAATGTTAAAGTCAGAAGGAATGTCAGTTATCATCCAGTTCACTTTTTACAGGATGAACCTGAGTCTCAGAGGAGGGAAATTATCTGCTTAAGGCCACTCCACTAGGAAACAACAAATCGAGAACTAAGAATCAGAACCCAGAGCTTCTGGCTTCTAGTCCTTTACATCCATGTAATGTGATGTGGCCATTGAAAGGAATCCTTGATGTTCTATTATGAATGTTCACCAGAATGTATTGTATGACAAGGTAAGACAAGTGTAATGTGCTACTATTTGTGCACAAAATAGAGCACAGGGGTTATGTACATGCACGGTTAGAGATACCTGGATATACCTGGAAGGGTAGAAAAGAAAATAGTAATAATGTTGCCACTAGGAAGAACTGGGATGGTGTTGCTGGTGGGGGAGACTTGCTAGTTACTGTAGGCAGTCTTTTCCTGTTTGAATGTTTCCTTTTGCATGCATTATTTTTTTTAATTCATTTAAAATCAGTGGCTTTTTACTGCCTGAAGTTTTGTGAGTTACAAAAGCTCTCCAGAAAATACAGTCCCACCCTCATCTATTGAAAAATCCATCTTGCACTTCATGCTGCAGGCAAACTGGAATCTGCAGTTGCTTTACTCTGCCAAGTTCTGCCTTTTTTTCACTTCCATATTTTTATACCTTTGCTGATAAGAATGTCTTTCCTATCTCCTCTTCACTCCAGGCATATGCTGGCCTCCATATTCATTCCAAACATGCCTTCTCCTTAGGGCCATTACATTTGCTGTTTGCTCTGCCTGGAACATTCAGCTGCCAGATATCTGCATGCCTTTCCTCATGCCTGTGCTCACCTCAACTTATCATAAAACAATGTACACACACTGTCACTTTCATATGTATCTGTTTTTCTTCACAGTACTTGTCACATGTGACTTTATTGTTATTGTTTCATTCATTGTGTCACTCTCTGCCTCAAAAAGGAAAATCGAGGGCAGGCTTTATTTTATTTAGAAATTAAGTAAATACTGAATTGTGTCAGCTTGCCCTAAAATAATTAATGAAGAAATCATAATAAACCTGAATTTTACATTTTAGAGATTGATAACCTAAGACAAAGTGGGGCAACTTTTATACACATATATGTACATACACATACATATACATGCTCACAAACGTCAATCTATGAGATGAACATTAAAGTCTTTTCATCATATGAGGCAAATCCAGAAAACAATGGTTTATGAAAGTATCTCCCAGTGAATAACATCTTCAAAGTAGAAAACTTGAGAGACACGTACTTATTACACTGATGATTTCAGTCTGTAACCCATTTTCTGGAAGAGTTCTTAAATAGGACCTGGATGTTTAAGTTATTGGGAAGCCAAATTATTGCCATAAAGTTGCTTAGTGCACATAAATTAGAACCTGAGGACGTAAGTACTGTTTAAATGACATTATAAATGGCATCAAGCTTTTAGCCTCATGTGCCTGTCTCTTCTCTAGGAAACCCATGCAACTGAGATAGGCAGCATCTCCCTGGACAACTGGGCAAGGCTGGGCTCTGCCAACTTCTGCTTTTGAGTTTTTCCTTATCTTGCCATTACTCCTGTATCCCTGCTCCCCTGGGCATAAGCCTTGTTTCACATGGTGCACATACATAGTTGAAGCTGTCCTTCAAATGTATGAAGATGCCATTGCAGTAAATAAAACTCAAGATATATGTAACATTCATTCATCACTTTATAGTAGCTCTTTGTCATGAGTCTTTTGGGACAAAGGAGTCTAAGTAGAAGGGGTAGGGTCCATGACTTATTTTTTAATATTAAAAGAGGATTTACATTCTCAGAAAACTCAGGATCACTGTCTAGGACTGTCTACATCTGTTGTGATAGCCCACCAAACAGGTTAAAATACAGTTGATTACAGACTTCTGTAATCACATCTCAGGTCCCATCACCTTACTTAATGTTGAAGTGTTTCCACAGTTTTGTAGTTTCCTAATTTACGACCACAGATGGTTAATTACATCCACTACCATTCTGACAAGCTAGGTTACTAAAAGTAATCTTAACTCCCTTCATTTAAAGTTCTTGGGAATCTCCAAAGCAACGTGAACAGGGAGGGGGTTAAGATTAATTAGGTTTCTAGAAGGAGTAGGTTTTGAGGTGGAATTTAAAGAGCATTTCACAGACAGCACTTCAGGGGCTGCGGAAACAGCTAAGGCACATATGGAGGGATTGATAATCCCATTGAGGAGCCCCTAAAATGAATACGGCTGTTATGATGTGAGATAAGGCAGATTGAATCCATGCTGTGAATGGTTTTAAACACCAAGCAGAGGCAACGGGGAGCCCTCGAAGGCTCTGAGCAGGTGAGCGGCACGACCGGATTGGCTACTGTAATGGCGATCAACATTTTAATTTCTCCGGCGATCCCATCCGACCTCTGTCCGCCCCTTAGACCGGCTTAGCGGTAGGTGGTGGCGGAGCGCTTCCGCAACGCGGTCCCTGGGGTCACGCCGGCCGGTTCACGGATGCTGCCCAGGCCGGGCTGGGGACGCAGAGCCGCCGCCGCCGGGCGCTGCACCTGGACCCGGCCCGACCGCGGATTGGACGGCTCGGGTGACCCGGTTGTATCGCGAGATGAGATTGGCAGCGACGGGGCCGCATGTGCCCCCGCGCTGGCTTTGTACGCGGAGCCGCCTGCCGGTCCTTTAACAATGGGCGGCGCGAGCGCACCGGCGCTGGGCCCGAGCTGAGGCCGGCGCTTCGCGGCCGACTGTCCGCAGCATGAGCGGGGCTGGCGTCCCCCGCACATCGGCGGGGCTGGGGCTGTGAGGGCCGCGGTTCCGGGTAAGGGAGGCCTCTGTGGGGATCGGAAGGCCTGGGCTGGGCGCGGGGCACTGGAACCGCCCTGCCCGGCCTTTTGTTCGCTCTTCTGGGGCCGCGCGACCCTATACGCTCCTCCACACTAGGAGGCGGCAGCCTGGGTGCGCGCCGTGCCGGGCCGCGGGGAGGCTCCCGGGCGGGCGGGAGCGCCCGACCGTCGGCAGCGGGTATCCAGAGGCGGGCGGCCTTTCGTCCCCGGGTTTCTCCGCGGGAGGTTTTCACCTCAGGGACTGTGACTGATGTCAAGTCTCTCCGCTCCTCAGAGCCGGCGGGAGAATTCGAATTCTGGACGCGGGGAGCCCGCAGCCGGGCCTCCCCTTCCAGCTTTCCCGAGCACGCACCCCGGTCCGCGCCCTGGGAACTTGGCCCAAGTTAGTCTCCTTTTGCCTGGCATGAGCCCGGCAGTTCTCAAAATTTTAAGCCAGCCTCTCCTGGCCGGGTAGCGCGGCCTTAACGTGTGGCGTCAGGGAGCTGGCATGGACAAGTCTGGTGAAGATGAACAGCCACCAGGGTGGCCTAAGGGCACAGCCCCCGGGAAGGGGGCGCGGAGTCGTGTGGAGAGAGCTGGCCGTGACCGCGCCCTGGATGTGTCTTACAGACTGAAGTTGCCGCGTTTGCCCCGGCCGCCGCCCGGTCCCATGGAGCTGGAGGGTCAGTGGTGGCGGGGACAGCTGGCTGCGGATATTCATCAAGCGCTTCGGTACAAGGTAACCCAGAAGCCCGACTTTTCCATTCGGTGTTTTGTGCCAGTTAGTATGGCTCTGGGCACCCCCCCGGGAAGACCCGTCAGTTTTTTTAACCACTGGTTTCCAGACCAGAAAAGGCGAGTTTGCTAATTTGCTCCAGGTTAATGACCTCTTGGCTTCTTCCCTGGGATGTATCAGAAGAACCTGCAATTTAAATGAGGCGGAGGGGCGTGGTAGTTGGAGTGGAAGATGTAAAGGGACATTCTGATGTTCTTGTTTCCAGGTTGAATATGGATGTGGTATTGTATTTGAAAAGATAACGTGCGCTTTTAATTTTTATTGGGCAGAGCAATACTTACATAGTTGCCGTTGCATTCAGCTGTTATGTCACATTTGTAGATAACTCCCCAGACTTTCCATCAACTTGCTGTGAGACTTCGGACAAGCTACTTCATCTTCTGTTTCCCAGTTTCCTCATTTGTGAAATGAATAATAATAATCATGATAGAATGCGTCTTATGGGTGATTGTGAGGATTCAATGGGTTAATATTGTACGGGTGCTTACAATAGTGCTTGGCATATAGGAAGCACTAAAAAATTGGTAATTGTTACTTTGTCTACTCCTTAGACTACAAGATTCAGGCTGTTCACAAAGCCTTAAGGTAGGAGGAGTTAGCTGCTTTTTCCAGCTGCTATCAAAGGCAGGAAGTAGACCTATACTTAATAGATGTTGGAGGGAAATACCCTTCCCCCACACGATGCAAAGTCTTCGTGTTGTTGCTTTTAAGTAACAGTTTTACTCTATGTCACATTCTGTATGTCACATCTCAGCTCTGCCTCTTCTGATAAATCGGAGAGACCAGATCCAAAGTTATCTCTTAACTTGACTCATTTTGACCATAAAGAGCAAGCCTGTCGTGCATTATGTATAGGAAATGAGAAAGAGGCAAAACAGCTGAGTCTTTAATAAAAAGGGTGCTGACTGTTAGAGTTGAGAGATCCTGCGATGATAAAGAACTTGTATCTGATAACCAGGTTAAATAGATTAGAACACCTAATTCTGGCTTAAAATGTTACAACTGTACCCTTTTCTAAGGTTTGAGTTTCTTAATGCTACTTACTAATTCTGACATTTCAGTCTCTGAGACACCTAAATACAACTCAGCCCCCTACGAGGTGGATTATACTACAGAAAAGTTTCAACTGTGGAATGGTTTCAGGAATGTTAAGGGAGTTGCAGGTTTTCCACTTTGAAAATTGTTCAGATTACTTTGGTTTTGGGTTTGTTTTGTTTTTTTTTTTGCAGATGTCCTTTTAGTTTTAAATGTTCTTTTCTAAGTGACAGCTTTTTATCCCTCTAGTATGTGGTGACATCAACTATTTGATGTTAATGTGATACGTTTATTTTTTTCAATGACATAAAACTTAAAAGATTTTTCTTGGTGATTTCCATGGTTTTTGAGTCTTATATTTTATGTAATTTTAATCCTGAGTGATTACTTGAATTAATTTTGTCAGTTGAGGTTGGAAGTGGATTTTTTTTCTCCCTCAGCAGATTTACTGAATGCTTTTGTGTATTAGGTTTTAGGGAGGATCGAAGGAATAGGACACAACCTTATATGAAAGTTGCTTATGAACTGTCAGAGGATGAGATAGGGCAGGGTCTGAAGGAATGCCACTGAAAGTTACCTTGGGACAACTATGTCATGCTACCTTGGGTTGTCTTTACCTTTAAACATTGTGTAAGCCACATTTGAACCATGGCTGTACTTTGTAAAGAACTTATTTTAATTATTTATACTTGAACCTTGTGAAACTGGAGAGAGACTGCTGTTTGTCATACACTGGAGTCAAGGAAAGTTTAAAATGTTTCTTACAGAAAATATGTTAATTCCAGCTATTAATTAGGTGAATTAGTTGAACAGTTACATCTTATTTATTTTTTCAACATAATTTGAGTACCTTCAATGTACAAAGTGTGATGCCAGGTGTGAGTGGTAATAATGAATGAGACATGATCCCTGCCTTTATGGAGTCTAATCTCATAATTCAGAGCATCTGAATTTAGGTCTTTGGGTAGTTGCTATTTAGACACTGTGGACGGTGCTCTAGGTTTAGGCCCAAAGTTTGTGGAGGAATAATTGGTGTGAATAGCATTGTACACATTAGGAGTAAAAATTAACAAATGGAAATCTCCTTCAACCCCAATACCAGCCGTACTGTGTTTATAAAATATAATTACTCCCCCCACTCCCAAAAATAATCCCTACAAAGCAGCTGTCCTCTTATACCCTGTGTCTTCTTTCTTCTCATTGTTTTGCTATGTACCCTAGTGTCTTTGGGTGCTTGAGGAAGTATTTTCAGGAGCATTTATGATAGATGGGGACAATGCTGGTTTTGTGAAAAATATGAAGGAAATTATCCCACAGAGTTGTACTTACACATGTCAGTATTCCTTCTGTGCCTTTATTCCCATCCTGGGAAGAGCATTAGTATTTGGGGTGGTGAGCTGACAAGGACTTGAGGCTGGAGATGGAGATGACATTTTCAGGTCTCTGTGTGCTATGGGATCCTGAGAAGGGATTGGGAACAAAAGTGTTCAATTCTAGGGGATCAAGAATAGACAGAAAAAACTTGGAAGTTGAGAGATGCATAGGTTATTTTCTCATGCTTGTATAACTGCAGTACCTGGACAAAGAGAACCAATTTTGACAGCTACCTTGTTAGCATTTGTTCTTTACAATTTAAAACGATATAAAGAGACTTTATTAAACAATTAAAATCTAGTCATAGCTCTTGGGATTCTTGCCTTTGTTTTGTCTTCATTTAGTAAACTTAACATAGTTAAAAAAAATATCCACCAGCGTTCTTCAGCTGTTTTCCCAGTGAGTCTTAAAGACCTTCTTTAATACCCCTTTACAGAAAGCCTACCCTGGCTTTGTTTTTCCCCAGCACCATAACCCTTGAGGTGGGTTGGATCTCCCTCCTCAGTTCAGTGTTCCTATAATATGCTGTGATTACTCTATTCCAGTAATATTTATCTTTTGGTTCACCTGCTAGAGAGAGGTTTGAGACTTGTTTTCTAGCTTTTATCCCTGGGGTTAGCTGGGTGTCTGCTATAGGAGATGCTCAATAAATGCCCCATGATGACAGCAAAGAAAGGTGAAGTTTGAGATTGTAACTCATTTACAATGTCTACATGTACAAAGATCTACAGAAATGACAAAGGAGAAAATCATAGGAGCTATGTGAGACATCAGCATGTTCCCTTTATTTAGAGAAATTAATTTTTTTTCTCTTTAAAGCCAGGCTAGCCTAAAAGCCACTGGTTTTTGTTTATTTATGCTTTCCTCACTTATACAAAAATTTTAAATGGCTCATTTGCCTGTCCTACAAGTAACTCTTTTAAAATGTCTTTGAAAAATTTTAAGTGATACATGCATATGGTTAAAAAATTTGCAGATGGTATAAGGTTTAAAGTAAACTTTCCCCAACCCTCACTATTCCCTAATCCCCTAAGGTACCACCATTAGTGTTTTTTTTCCTGAAAAGTACCCATGAATTAGTAATCTGCAAATAATTTTTTTTGTTGATACAAGAGGTCATAATATATATTCAATGTTCCATACTTTCACCCACCCCAACCTTACTCAGTTTAGCAAATCTTCCATATCAACATATATAGGTGTACTGCCCTTTATTTTAATGTCCACACTGAATTGCTTTCCCAAAGTTATATAATCAGTTCCGTGTTGATGGATGTCAAGCTTTTTTTTTTCTTTTTAGTACACTTTTAATTTTGAGATAATTGTAGATTCACATGCAGTTGTAAGAAATCTTACAATGATTGAGAGAGACCCCCAATACCCTTTGGTAACATCTTGCAAAACTATAGCACAGTTATCACAACCAGGGTGTTGACATCGATAGAGTAAAGATAACAGCCTTTTCTATCATCACAGGGATCTCACATTGTCCTTTTATAGGTGCATCCTCTTCTCTCCCACCCTCATTCCTCCCCTTAGCCCCTAGCAGCTACTAATTTGTTCTTTGTTTCTATAATGTTGTCATTCCAAGAATGTTATATAAGTGTAATTAGATAGTACGTGATCTTTTGGATTGGCTCTGTTCACTCATAATTCTCTGGAGGTCAATCCAAGTTGTGGGACATCAAGCTTTTTTATTCCATTATTTTGTTATTAAAAACAGTGCTACCACGGACCTCCATATATATGTAGGGCAAATTCCTAGGCCTAGTATTGCTAGGCTAAAGGGTATAAGCAATCTATATTTAAAAAATTTTATATTACCTAATTGCCCTCCAAAAGGTTGTATCAGTCATCAAATTGACCAATAATATATGGGAGTTCCTATTTCCACTCTTGATAGCATAAGCAAAAATTAGTAAGATGTAACCTGGTAAGCAAAAACTGTATAGTCCTTTAATTTCAAATGAGATAAGGCATCTTTTTATATGTCTTTGGCTTTATTTTATTTTTCCTGTGAACTGTCTGTTCATATTTGTAGCCTTTTTCTTATTGATAAGTAAGAGTAAATAATAAAGAAGTTTTTTCTATGTCCTATGTATCAGAAACACTTAACTAAATTCATTTATTCTCCCCAATTTAAAATACCATTGTTATCAAATAGGTTCTCCTATCCAAGAAAAAGTACCATCTTTCCATGTATTCTATACTTCTTCAGAATTTTAGTGTTATCTTCATATAGTGGGCACATATGAATTTATTTCTAGGTGTTTTAATTTTATAGTTACTGTGTATGGAATCTTCTGTTTTCTAACCAGGTATTAGTATAGGGAAAAGCTATTGACTTATGTTAATTTTATAAATAATCATCTTACTGAATTGTTACTGTTTATTTTTTGTTGATTTTCATGGGATTTTTTGGGTACAAATTATATCATCTTAAAAATAGTAATTTTGTTCCTGAAAATGACTTTTGATTCTTCTCTCCAATAATTAAACCTTTTCTTTCCCCTTTTCAATTTGGATTGGTTAGTATTCACAGTGTTAAATAATATTTTAATAGATGGCATTAGAATACTAATCCTTCTATTGTTTCACCTCCAAATAAGATGCTGGCTCTTACATTTGAGATCTTTTTACCTCCCTTCCTTCATCAAAGAAATGTACATCTCTTGTTATTTCTCCCAGCATCCCCTTTGTCCAGATGCCGTTTTGGCATCTGTCAAGATGATTTTGCATATTTATGTATGAATTTTTATTCTGACTTTTATTAATTCCTAATATTAAACCATCCTTGCATTCCCAGGATGTACTACAATTGATGATGTATTCTTTGGCTATGCTACTAAATTATACTGGCTAATGTTTTATCTAAAATTTTATATCTTACAAAGTTAAATTTATATGTAACTTCATTTTAGTGTGTGTGTGGTAAAATGTGCACAACATAAAATTTACCATTTTAACCATTTTAAGTATACAGTTCAGTGACATTAGGTACGTTCACATTGTGCTGCCATCACCACTGTCTATCTTCAGAACTTTTTCATCTTTGCAAACTGAAACTTCATATCCATTAAACAATAATTCCTCATTCACCCTGCCCTCCAGCCACTAGGAATCATAATTCTAGGTGGTTAAAAATAAGGAGAGAAGTTTGGTTTAAAATTTTAAATGCCATTCATTATCCTTCCACTCAACTTTTTTATTTTTGTGTTTCACTCAAGAAAAATGTTTCAGGCACTTAAAACACTAATATATTGGGGGTGGGGGGACTGCCTTTGCATTGTGGGGGTATTTCTCCTATTTATGTTAGACTAAATGTTGTTTCTCTTGATTTAGGAGCTGAAGTTGCCTTCCTACAAAGGCCAGTCCCCACAACTGAGTCTTAGAAGGTATTTTGCTGACTTGATTGCCATTGTGAGTAATCGCTTCACACTCTGCCCTTCTGCCCGACATCTTGCTGTCTATTTGCTGGACTTGTTTATGGATCGGTATGACATCTCTATCCAGCAGCTGCATTTAGTTGCACTTTCCTGTCTGCTTCTGGCAAGTAAGTACAAATCAGATCTATATGACTGGAAATTTCTATTGTTTGTAATAAAATAAATTTATCTAGAACTCAGGGAATTATCACCATGTTCTATTCATTCTAGTTTACTAGTGTCAGAAAGTTTATGTTGAAAGTGCTTCTTGACACAGTAATTTTTAACCAGACATTAAAAAGTGACTCTGGACTCTTTTAAAAACATATGTATTTTTAAGCCCTTCATCCTGAAGATTATGATACAGAGATGTCTAGGCCACTCCAGATGTACTGACTCAGAATCTGCATCATGGAGCCTGGGTATTTTTTAACTTTTTCTGAGTTCCTAAGGTGATTCTGATGTACCTTTCTGGTTGAGTACCATTGTCTTAAAACAGTGGCTCTCAACCAGGAGCAGTTTTGCCTCAAAGGGATACTTAACAACATTTGGAGATAGTTTTGGTTGTTGTCACAACCTTGGAGGATGTTACTAGCATCTAGTGAGTAGAGCCCTGAGGTGTTGCCAGATATCTACAATGCACAGGATAGAAGTCCCTCTACTCCCCAAAAAACTGACTGGTCCAAAATGTTAGTGGAGCTGAGGTTGAAAAGCTCTGTCTGAAAGGGACCACACCTTTGTATTGTTAAAATACCTTCTAATGACTACATAATGAGTTAATGAACTGAAGGTTGATATGCAAATACTACAGATGTGAAAACCTTTGCTTAGGCAGTAGATGTAACTATGTAGTAGGCTGCAAGGTAGAATCTGATATATTAGTTAACACAGTGCAGAATGTACTGTTGGGCCCTTTGGGTGCCTTTCTCAACTCATTTCACTGTGTGTATTAGTACCCTAACTAAAGGGAAAGTGAGTAAAGGAATTGGAATTGAGTTTTTCTTTTAATAATATGAAACGGTTATATTTGATATTGAAGTGAAACCCTTAGTTTTTATATTATTCATGTCATTACAACAGAAATTTAAGCCATTTTCAAAGTAGTATATAGAAATAGCTATTGCCTTTACCTCTGACCCCCACTTGAGGGTTTGGAGTTCAGTGTGGCTGCTGTGTATGGAACTTTCCCCCTACACTTTGGTGCCAGAGTTCTTTCTAAAACACTTTTGTGCTTTGACTGCAGAGAAACTTACAACCAAATGCAGGTATGTGGTGGTATCATTTCTGGTTCTAATCTCTTCTCAGGTTTTCTTTTCCTACCCCTATTCTTTCTTTGATCTGATGACCTCAACAACTTACTTTGTATCCTTGAAGGTCTTTTTGTAACATACTTCAAATCCTTTGTGGACCAGGCTGAATATATATAAACACAGCCCCAGCAGTGAATCCCACTATCTGTGGTTAAGGTAGAAACTCCTAATGTAACATTGAGAACCTTGCATCTGAACCCAGCCTCCTTCTCAATCTCATCTTCCAACTTTATTCCCACACACCTGCAGCTAAATTCTTACCTGAATGCCATTTTCTGAAAATCTACATTTCTCCTTTAATCTGTTGTCCTCTAAGATCCACAGATCCTTTGCTCCTCTCCCCCCACCCAGAAAGCCAGAGAGGTAATGCTTGTACATTTGTAATTAACCCTTAATTTAAACTGTAATTAAGGTTTCGTCCTCATAAGCAATCACATGTACTGTTCCATGTGTTTCATCATTGGCTACAAAGCCCTTTATGGTTTAATAGTTTGCAGAAGATTGAAAAGCCCATTCTTGAAACATCAGATGTGTGAGAATCCACAAATGGAATGACTTCTTGTTACCCTACAGAATGTTAACTTATAGGATCAGTTTATAGCAAGAAACACTGGAAATCAGATATGTAAGGTTATTTTAAAAACTTGGAATCATTAATGAAAAGTAATCTTTTGCCTGCTATGGCCATCACTCTTTTTGGCACTACCAGGCCTTACTTGCTCAATGCCTGAAAGTGTAGTTTGGGCCAGTAGGAGACTCCTCCTGATGGACTCTGAAATTATGAGTGATGCATAGTCAATTCATAGACTCATCTTTGTGACTAAAGTTTACTTACTAGTGACTTAATGAATTAGGGGTTACTAAACTAGATACTTGTAAACTACATGTTAACTGGGGAAATTCCCTTAGGGTTCTAGTTGAATAATCTAATAAGAATGCTGGCCACCACACAGTGCTTTGTATTTGTGCCAAGTTCCTGCAGTTTCCATAGTTTGGGGAAAGGATACTTTATTTGTACACCATCTTAGGTTAGTTGGAATGGAATTTCAGTTGTTCTTGTTTTTAAATTAACATGGTTAGTTTAAGCTCATGATCAATTTATTTTACTGAAGATTATTTGATCCAATCTATATGGTAATCTGTAGTTATTTTTGGCTCATTTTCCAGGAACTAGGCTTTAGGATTTGTATTTGCTGTGGTTCAGATATGAACTGTTTATCGCCTATTATTGAAATAGTCGGATGCCTCCCCCCTTTGTTATGCTTACACCCCCTGACCCCTCATTCCCTGAGAGAGAAGCATTGCTTTCCCACTGTTCCTTTTCCACTGGAGAATGGGAAAGTGTGAGATAGGTACTCCCCCCCGGGTCTCAGTCCCTCCAAGTAGGCACTGGTCCAAAGAGTTCAAGCTGTCAGCTCTGTGCTAGGATGAGGAATCAGAGAAGCTGGCCATTAGTGGCTAGCCACAATCTTTCCTCCCTCCATCTGTAACTTTACTACAGCAGCATTTTGAGGATACTTGTAAACTGGTAGCCTGTTCTCAATACCTGATGTTTATTTTAAATTTATGAAGTGCATTTTGGTGTTTCTTACGTATGTTCTTATGTTTGGATATCAGTGGTAGCTCTTTGATTAGTTATCATGAATTGTATTCAAATAATGCTTCTCTCCTCACAGAATGATTAAACTCTGTACATTCCTGTCCCCCAGCTGCTCCCTGCTTTGGAATGGGCAGCCTGTGAACAACAGACTACAGCTGAGAGGAATGGGTGACAGTTTTATTGTAGTTACTAATATGTTGGGTGGCTTTGGATAATTTGACCACATGAAAAGCACACCTTGTATATCAAGGTACTAACGTGTATTATCCAGCTGCCTGAGTATCTACACAGTTAAAGGCAGGGAGAAAGGGCCTACAGATTATCTCTGATGGGGAGAGTGATGTGTAGTGTTTCAGAGCAGGGATTATAGTGATGGATTGCCTATGTTTGAATCTCTTGTCAGCAGTATGATTTTCAACAACTCTAGAGTCTCAGGTTACTTCTCTATACAATGAAAAAAATATTTGTACTTACAAATTTGTGACGATCAAGTTGGAGTAATAGATCTAAAAGCACATAGAAAATAGAACCATAAAAGTTAGTGTCATAATGTTTAGTTCCTTCATAAGCTGTTCTGTACTCTTTAGTTTGGCTTCCTAGCCCTAAGGTTTTGGCTCATTCCAGAAAAAAATGATTTGTCCTGGAAAATTCTCAAATTCCAACTCTTTGATATGCTCCCCTTGGTTTCTTGTGATCATCATTGAACTTGTGGAGAATATGGAAGCATTCTTGGAGATGAATCTTCTGATAATTTGTTCATGGTCTTGTGTAACAAAGAAATGATCTTGGAGTCAAGGTGAAACCAAAAGTGAGATTATTGGCTTTCAGTAGTACACATTTTTGACAAGTGCTTGTTTCTCCTTGCTTATCGATACTGGGTTGACAAAGCTTTTTATGACATTGATAGGTGAAAAATCATATCTCACAGTTGATTTGATTTACATCTCAATTTTTATTGAGACTAAAACTTTTTTTTCCTGTAAATTGCCTCTTCCTGTTTCTTACCCATTTTTCTTTTAGATTGCTAGTCTTACACATTTGAGAATTCTTAGCATGTATTAAGGATGACCTTTTTCCTACTTAGTAATAAAAGAAGAAACTGGCTCGGCAGAGCTCACAGTGACATCCTATCCTACCACCACATGCCTGCTATTCACCGCGAGCTTTGAAAGTGCTTGTTTGTGGAATACTTCCTATGAAGGAAAGACAACCTGATGCTTTGTTTCTGTGGCCTCCAATTCTTTATTTTGGGGGAAGCAGATGTGAATTTCCTATGCCCTTATTTCCTGTTTGGGGCCTTTATCAATATAATCACACAGCTTCTGGCATTTCCTTTCAGCTGAAGAAAACTGATCTTTGTGATCTGTATATGGTATTGTGAATAAGTAGATTTAAAACCCATGCACATAGTATTCACAACAAAAACTAGGGATATGAATGCAGGTACTCATTGACACTATCACACATTTTGAAATCTTTTAATATCCAGGTATCTGAGTATTTATATCATTATATATAATTAAAAGGTTCCAGAAAACTTAAACCTGAATTAAAACCCAAGTATGGTTATTTACACAGTATGCAGGTTATTGACTTTGCAAATCTAGATGCAAAGGTATTTTCACATTGTAGTAGCCAAGTATTTTATAAATATAGAAACCCTTTAGATGCTTAATAATGTAGAAGTCAGTCTTCTCTGGTAGTTGTTGGTCCCATATAATCTGGTGCAGTACTTTGGTCTAGAAATACAGATTTGGGAATTCAAATGCAAGTCTTCCTTTTCACTTCCATTGATTTGACCCTAAATGAATTGATTAATTTGACTCTAAATGAATTGGCCAATCTTGCTGTATTGGTTGCTTGAGCTGTGAAACTGGACATATACAGTTGTTTTCTATGTTGAAAGTTTCAAGGAGATAATAGGAAACATTCTTGATTCTTGAGTTAAACAGTGAATTATGGCATATTAATTTCTTCAGAGGAACCTCAAGCATGATACAAATAAACCCAACTTCTACAATATTCCTTTGGTGTATACTGCCAGTATTACCTGTGCTGCACAGGTGGTGGGGCACTTTGAAAGTCTTAATGATTCTGTCAGAGGGATTGAACTAAATTCCTAGGTCATTCTCTTTCTGAAGAATTCCACTCCTGTTATACTGAGAACAGTGGGTTCCTCTCCTTTATCTTTATGTAGTGATAATACTAGATGACTGTGTCATTAAGACCACTTTGGTGCTTTCAGCTGTACTGCAAATAAGCTATTGGCAAAACTTGTGAAATTTAGCTTTATGTGATTTGAAATGGGAAGGGCTATCTGGATTCTTGAAAAGTCTGAATCGTGTAAGATTTTTAGATCTCCTTTCTGCAGCAATGTTTAAGAGTGGCTTAGGTCTAAAGAAGTACAAAATTTCTGAAGCATGAAAGAAATTCTAAGCTTCTTCGGGCTTAACCTCTTCTTAAAGTCATGAGCATAGAGTCTCCTGGCATAGGAGACAAAACCTTCTGCCCCAGATCCTCATCCCGAGGGTAGTTAGAAACCCAGTTCCTCATCCTGAAGGTAGTCAGAAAAGACCAAGGGAGGGAGTCAGCAGCATTTTTTCCCCAGCCCTAGAGCAGGTCAGCTTGAACAAACCCCACTGAACATCTGGGCTGAGTGAACCTGACCAGTACCACTTGTTGTAGCAACTTCGGTGTGTGGTGTAAACCCACCTCTTCTGGCAGAGAAAACTGCACAGGAAAACTCACCTGGTTTCTACTGCTTTGGTAGTCTTTCTAGCTCTTCTCCAAAAAATGGTTTTAAGTGGATAATATAATAAGATTTCCAAGGAAACCACAGATAGTTGACCGTTGAAGAATGTAGGTTTGAACTGCTTAGGTCCACTTACATGCAGATTTCTTTCAATAAATATGTTAGGAAAATTTTTTGGAGATGTGCAACAATATGAAAAACCATTTTCTGTCGTGTATTTTATTGTAATATACATAATATGTGTTAGTCAACCATTTATGTTATCAGTAAGGCTTCCAGTCAACAGTAAGCTATTATTGGTTAAGTTTTGGGGAAGTCAAAAGTTATAAATGGATTTTTGACTCTGGGTTGGCATCCCTAACCCTCACATTGTTCAGTGGTCAGCTGTATAGTTATCAAAATAGTAAAATAAAAATTTTGAATACAGTAATTTATAACATATTCTAACAACTGTATTTTTAAACAAGTATAAATGGAAAAACTATTGTGAGAAATCTATAACTGCAATATAATGTGACTGTTTTAAATCTTAATGAAAAATAGAACATTAATACTAGAAGGTAGAAGGCTTTAGTTATAATTTCCCTTTTTCTGTGGACCACCATGGAACAAAAACCCAGAGAGATTTAAAGGCAACTCTTTGGTTCTATTGCTCCATCTGGAAAATAAAATCATAATTGAATGTTTGAATTTTCTCCATCCATAAGTCTAGAAATCCTGAAAATGAATGACCTATATATAGTAAAATGCTTGCTTGGAAGTTAAAGTGTAAGATGGTACATAATCTATAGAAAAATTATTCTGGGGCTGGAAAGGGACTTTTTTTCGCCAGTCATACATACAGATGAGTGTTTCCTGAAAAGAAGTTAATGCCTTTGAATGATGAAGTTCATCCATCAGATCATCTACTATTCTGTTTTAAGTAAGGAGATACAAAAGTGAATATAAAATATTTTCCCCTCTCTTTTTATAACAGACTTAGCTAGGTTTTTGTTTTAAATTCAGAAAAGGAGAGAGAGGTTTTTTGGTGGATTGAGAATGCTTGTTAGATACTCACCCAGTTTTTCCCCCCACTTTCTTTCTCTGTCATTGACAAAAATATGCCAACATAGAACATTTAAAACTTAAGCTATGTTTGATTTCAGATAACTCTAGACATTAAATTCTTTAAACTTCTATTCCAAAATAAAATCATTTTCTTCTACCAACAACCAGCTTCCCCCAAAAAGAGATTTCCTAAAAGGATCAGCTGGTGAGATTTGAGAGTGTTGTCTTTTCATTGGCACATATGACTATTTTCATTACACAACAGGACATAGATCAAAACACATGTCCCATTTTTTTAGGAGAGGGTGATGGGTGGTGGATGGAAGCACTGGGAAAGAAAAACATGCAAATGGGACAGCCCCCTAGTTCTGGCACAACTGTATCTGCCCAAAGCAGGGGAAGCAATGTCTTTGGATCTAGATATTTGCAGTAAGGCAGCGCATCCCATTTAAGTGACTAGACCTGATAATTACTTGCCTAATATTTTCTCTCTCCCCCCACCGACTTTTCTTAAAAGGTAAATTTGAAGAAAAAGAAGATAGTGTGCCTAAGCTGGAGCAGCTCAACAGCCTGGGTTGTATGACTAATATGAATCTAGTATTAACAAAACAAAATTTGCTACATATGGAACTATTATTATTAGAAACCTTTCAGTGGAACCTCTGCCTTCCAACAGCTGCCCATTTCATCGAGTATTATCTCTCTGAAGCAGTACATGAAACAGATCTTCATGATGGTTGGCCAATGATTTGCTTGGAAAAAACTAAACTTTATATGGCCAAGTATGCAGATTACTTCCTGGAAGTATCTTTGCAAGGTTAGTGGCTATGGATGCCAGTAAGTGACTTTTGGGTTTGTGACTTTGTATTCTGTTGCTTAAGTTCATTTTTGATGTCTCCACAGATTATGCCTTTCTAAATTATGCACCTTCTTTAGTAGCTGCTGCATGTGTGGCTTCTTCAAGGATTATACTTCGTCTTTCTCCAACGTGGCCTACAAGACTGCATCGTCTTACTGCTTACTCCTGGGATTTCTTAGTGCAGTGCATAGAACGGCTATTGATGTAAGCCTCTTTGTTCCTATGTTTGTAATTTCTCATTAATATTTTTCTTCATGTATAGGCAGCCCTAAAAACAATTTCTCAAAAGCACAGAACTCTTAGGATATTTGCTCTGACGGCTGCTTGCTGCCATAAGCAAGCTGCTGTATGAGCAGTACTAGGTAGAAGGGAGCCCATTTTGGCTATCTGGTTAAGAGGTTGTCGTTGCTGGTATGATTCTGGGTACATGATAGGAAAGGAGCTGCTCTTGTGTAAGCCTAGAACTCTTGAGATCAATCCAAGCAAATCTTTCTCCATTTTCCATTTCTGCATCTTTGAATTATGGGGCTACCAGGATGTCACCAAAGTGGCAGCCAAATTTAAGTGCTTATTACTCTCAAGCTGGAAATAGCCTTCAAAGCTATCAGCAGCCAGTTTCCAAGGTTTGTACCAAGGGAGGGAGCTTTTAGAAGAATAATAGTGAGATCTCACTGTTGGTGAAATTACGCTTGCAATCACTGTACGACTAGGCAGTGGGGCAGTCCATGGAGTCAGCTGTTGAGGAGTTGGGGGTGGTATATGACTTCCTTGTAAATTCTCCTCAAGTAACATAATTAACAGTGTCCTTTCTTTGCATGTTGTAGCGCTCATGATAATGATGTGAAAGAAGCAAACAAACAGAGAGGACAGGCAGGACCTCAGCCAGCACAGCTAAGTGTCTTCCAGCCACCCTCCCAGCCCTTGCGGCCAGTTCATGGGCAGCAGCCTCAGTATCTCCATCAGACTCATCAGACCGCACTGCAGTATCGCCATCCTGTGTTGGAACAACCGGGCTGTCAGCAGATTGTATCTACCACGCACACCTCATCTTACACACTACAGACATGTCCTGCTGGCTTCCAAACTAGTGTTCAGGGCCTGGGGCATGTGCAGACTGGTGTTGGGATGTCACTGGCAATCCCAGTAGAAGTTAAACCCTGTCTGAATGTTTCTTATAACCGGAGTTACCAGATAAACGAACATTACCCTTGTATTACTCCATGCTTTGAAAGGTGATTTTATGCGAAGGTAATACCTGACCCAGACTGTTTTGTGACTTGAAGCTCTGGGGGCTCTTTGTACATGGCTCCTTAAGAGAAAAGGGATTCAAGTTGCATCAGAACTCTTCAGAAATCAACAGCAAGAAGACTGAATATCCCTTTCAGTTCACTGTGAGTACCTGGGAAGACTGAGAAAACTCTGCAAATACTTTTAACAGTATGTATGTCAAATCCTGTTAAGACAAATTCCTCTATAACAAAAATGTTCCAGCCCTGGCTGATGGTCCAAATATTTCAAAAATATTTCAAAAATGTTCAATACAACAGGAAATTTGGACAGACTCCAATTTTCCATTTTGAGATTTGAGCTGTGGTAGGCTTTTGATGTTGGCTTCTGTGTTAGAGACTAATGTTTATCTGTGGACTTGCCAAACATTCTTTTTATGAAGGAAAATTACAGTATTAATTTTTGAAGAGGTCCTTTTTTAATTCTGCAGTTTTGAGTTACATTTTTGATTTACAAATGAATTTTTGAGTAAGTTTAAACTCATGAATTCATAGCTATACTATGCCAATCTGCTCAGTAAAAAAAAAAAAAAATTAGGTAATTCTTTATAACTTTTTATCACAGACAGTATGGGTATCTGGATTTATGTACTAAAATTAAGAGTGGAGTAGATTCCTTATAGTAAAATCATGGTCAAATTTTTGTTGTTTTTTTCCGCTAAGTGATCAACCTCAGATCTTTAGAATTAAAACACATTTAACTCAGGGAATTTGTACTACTTGGAAACACTTAACTGTAATGCAACATGTTTTGGGAATGTTGTAGTGTGAACTACCTTTATAACTTAGGTTACATACTCCTGCTAGGATGTGTTTTCAAATGAGAACATAATGGTAGCTTAGAATGAATGAAGAGGTGGTTCCTGTCATTCATAATACATATAGAGGCTTTGCATTTCTCAGTGCAATCAGTGATTTATACTCAGATTTGATATTACTTTAAATAATGTTTTTCCAAGGAAAGGCATAACTGTAAAATGTCAGTACTACAATAAAGTCCCATAGATTTATTTTGAAGTGGAATGTGGCCAGGGTAGTTCTCAGGTTGTTCTAGAGCAGCACTTCTTTATGTGGAAAACAGGTTTTATAAGCAGCTTTGAATCCACCTAGTCATTGTAAGCTGGCAAAGGTACTGATTACTAAATTTCAGTAGCCACTTTCATTAGATTGGCCCCAGAACTGCCCTGGGACATTTTACTGACTGGTACTAAGGGAAGACAGCAATAATAAATTGTTAGCAAGGGCAGTTTTGGGGTAAAGAATTTGGAGGGAATAAACTTAAAAAGGAAAAGGGAAAAAATCCTAACTGAAACTGTATACATTGTGCTCTTATCTGTGGGAGAAGAGAGATTTGGTGGAGGGAAGCTTTCTGATTTAAAAATTAGCAAGATGTGTCATTTTGTGTTTTTTTTTTAATATAGCACTTGAGTTAGAAGGGAAACTGCATGGCAGGTATGTGACTGCCACAATATGCATTGAAGACAAACTTACAAAGAGGTGGGTATGCAGCAGGAGTCTTCAGTAATCAAGCCAATGGCTTTTGTTGGTAAGGGAAGGGCCTCAACACAGTAATGGACTGATCCAGATGGCTCCAGTGGATGAATGTGGGTAGATAGTTTCTGCAAGCATGAATTCTTTAAGAGAATGTCCTTTCTTTAAAAGAAGGTAACTTTTATAATTAGAGTACATAGGGCATGATGTGGACTTATAGTCTGGTAGGTAAAACAAAAAACCACTCAGGTAAGAACACTCAGTCATGGCAGTTTTCAAGCATGAAAATTGTTTTCTGAAAGTACCACTTTTCCTCTTACAGAAGGCTGCGAATTGGATTTTTGTATTTCTCATCTCAAGAGAACTTGAATTATTTGGGGGAAGTGGGTTCAAAAGAGAATAATACATCTTTCACATTCAGAACCCAGCACCTAGTGTCCAATTTTCAGTATTTTAACTACCTCAGTAATACTATGAATGTAAGATACTGGGATAGAGATCCCAACTTGAAACAACAACTGGTGCCTATGGTAATTTAATGTCTTATCAAATGCTTTTATTGATTGGTCTAAATGTCATCCTTGTTATAGAATATGCCTTTTAAAAACACTTCTACTAACACTTTCCCAGTTTATATTTTAAAAAACTAAAGAACACTGGATTAATTTGGGGGGGGGTAGAATAAAATAATTAATTGGTTACTATTGCTGCATACCCAAGGTGGGGTGGTTGGACAACCCAGAACTATTTTTTAAAACATTATGTTTCAGTATAAATACAACTCACAACTGCTAGCTTTGGGGGGTGGGGGGAGTTGTGTGGGTTTTGTTTTGTTTTAATTTATTGATTAGTCTTTAGGTCTTTTTTTTTTTTTTTTGAGATTACTGGACCATCATTAAATGTGTACTGTGAAGAGGTTAATATGTATAAAGGGCTTTACCAAAGTCCACTAAATAAACACTACGCAAGTACAGACTGCAAACCAAATGTATGTGTTATAACATTAATTGCAAATAGCAAGTATGGTGCTAAAGTCTACACCAATGGAATTAGATGAGTGCTATGCACTTAATTTTAAAATAAAACTAGTTTTCAGTAAAATGGTTTTGGTGTTCTGTTTTAAATATAAATTTGATGTGTACTTGCAGCTTCACTGAACTGTGTCATTGTTAAGTGAGACTTGGATCATAATTACACTTTACTTAAAGAACCAGCCAGATGTAGAATTTATTTATAGTGGTGGCAAATATTTGTCCATTCATTATGTATTAAATATTAAGCATCACAGCCCAAAAAATTATGTTGGACACAGCTTTTAGCCTTTGAGCTTAAAATCAGTTGTCATTATGTTAGCAGTTGCAGCTTCTAATTTATTAAACAACATGAGCTTCAGAAAATTTGAATACTGATCTCAAAAGTAGAGACACAAAATAATCAAGGGTATTAGAGGGAAATGGTGAACAATAAGTGACAATGGTCTGTTCACCCAAGTATAAATATAATTCATTTAATTCAGCTTAAAACTCAGAATTGTTCTATAGAATTAAATTTTAACAAGTTTGTACTTGTGGGTTAGGAATTTAAACCCCTAAGAAGTTATTTTTTAGACAGTTCTGTATATTGTCCCTTGCTGCAACACAGTGCCAAGGGTTAGCAACTGCCCTCAAGAGTCAGTTAATATACAATATTTATTAAGGCTGAATTTAAAGAAAAAGAACAAGCATTGCAAAGGGCAGGTGGCTTTCCACTAAGGCAATTCTGAACCCCATGTTAACAAGTTTATGTTCACCAACAACTGTCCTCCTCAAGCACATGGTGAAAAACAACCTCCCTAGCCTCAAACAGCTTACATTTAGCTTGATGTGACTAGCACACTTGAAGCAATTAGAATCGTATGGTCTAGATTATATCTTGGTTTAGGGATTACTCAACAAGCATTTAAAAATCCCTTAGATGCAAACAAACAAACCAGTGAGCTGAAAGCAAGAGCAGGCTCTGGCTTCCCTATGGAAAGGGTACCTACTGCTACACAACTGCCATTTTTTTTTGGAGCAGTTTTGGGCTCACAGCAAAACTGAAAGGAAAATAGAAATATCCTATGTACCCCCTGCCCCTTCACATGAATTCTCCCCCATTGTCAGCATATGCCATATGCCACTCTGTACATGTACAGAGTGGTAAATTTGTTAAAATTGATGAATCTACATTGACACATAATCACCCAAAGTCAATAGTTTATAATTCACTCTTTCTCTTCACTCTATTTAGACAAATGTTTAATGGCATGTATCCATTTAAGTGGATACTGAGTATTTTCACTGTTAAACATCCTCTGTACCCACCCCCATTCATTTCTCCCCATGCTATCCCTGCCACCTCTGCCTCTGTCCCTGCCCTGACCCCACAACTGCTGATCTTTCTATTGTCTCCATAGTATTGCCTTTTACAAAATGTTATATGGTGGGGATCATGCAGTATGTAACCTTTTCAATTTGGCTTCTTTCACTTAATACATATTTAAGATCCCTTCATGTTTTTTTCATGATTTGATAGTTCTTTTTAGCACTAATAATATTCCATTATCTGGGTGGACCACTGTTTATTTATCCATTCATCTGCTAAAAGATATCTTCGTTGCTTCCAAGTTTCAGTGGTTATGAACAAAGGTGCTGTAAACATCTGTGTGCAAGTTTTATTATGAACAAAGTTTTCAGCTCCTTTGGGTGAACACAGAGTGTGACTGCTAGATTATAGGGCTAAGAATATGTTTAGTTTTGCAAGAAACTGCATTTGTAAGAAAGTTTCTTCCGAAGTGGCAATCATTTTGCATTCCCACCACTAATGAATGAGGATTCCTGTTCCTCTACATCCTCACCAGCATTCGATGTTGTCAGTGTTCCAGATTTTGGCCAATCTAATAGATGTATAGTAGTACCTCGTTGCTTTAATTGGTATTTCCTTGATATACATAGCAACTTTTCACATATTTATTTGCCATCTGTATATCCTCTTTGGTGAGGTGTTTCTTAAGGTCTATAGTAGCCCTTTTTTTGAATCAGGTTCTTTCTTGTGGGGTTTTAAGAGTTCTTTGTATACTTTGGGTAACAATCCTTTATTACATGTTTCTTTTGCAAATAACTTCTCCTATTCTGTGGCTTGTGTTCTCATTTTCTTGACATTGTCTTTCACAGAGCACAAATTTTTAATTTTAATGAAGTGCCCCTTATCAATCTATCATTATAGAAGGAAATTACAGATCGAAAGTTTGGCTAAATAAGGCTAAATAATAAGGCTACTATACTATCAGGGTATTACAAAGGTAGCTATGGGAACAACAATGCAAACCTTCCTATCAAAAGAAATACAGAAAACAAAGCAAGCAGTCTATATAGTAAAATATTTTTAAAAGGTTTGACTACAGAAAAAAAAAATAACAACCAAGGCCAAACATTTCAAATCAATGTAAATGGTCTTAATGCAGCTATTAAGAGAAAAAGAATTTCAGACTGAATCACAAAGCAAAACTCAAACTCATGGTACTTAAAAGGCCTACAACAAAAAATGATTCAGAAGGGTTGAAGATAGAAGAATGAAAAAAAAGATACTAGAAAAACCTCAAACAATAAGCAACATTTTAATGAATAACAGATAAGGCTGAATTCAAGCCCAAATGTATTAAAACAGACCAGAAAAAAAAAAGGGTGCGTGTGTGTATAAATATGCTAAAGGTTACAATTCACAGTAAAGATGAACAATTATGAAAGCTTGAGGATCAAATAACCTTGCAACAATATTAAGTAAAGACTATAGAAAATTTAAGAATAAATAAAAAAACAACCTCTTGGCCTTAGTGCCATCTTAGAAACCTCTGTGCCATGAGAGCCAAATGGAGGAAGAAGCTAATGTGCGGGCTAAAGCAAAAAAGAAGAAAGATGAGGCAGAGGTCCAAGTAAACTGCCAGCTTGTTCATCACAGAAGCCACAGGAGCAGAAATAAGGAAAGCCAGAGGCCAGGGGTGATGGTACAAATTGTTGGACTAAATGCCTGTCTAGAACTTGTGTCAATGGACCTAGAACATCCTTCACCATCTGATTGCAAGACCACCTCTGACAGACCCACACTGCTCATACCAAAACATTCCTTTTGGTCCTTTGCCCCAGGCCTGTGACATTCTGGCCTAGTTCTGTTCTCTGTTGTGCCTGAATGAAACGTGTACAATAAGTAATCTCTTCTGCTATCTTAGCTGGGAAAAAGACAAAAAGCATGAGTAATAAGAAGCTGTAATTCATCTCCAGGTTCCTGACAGATCAGTACTTGAAAAAATACATAAAGCTATAGAGAAGCTTAATAACAAATTATAGTAGATCTAACATATATATTGAGATTCTGAGAAGGGAAATGCTATAGGCCAGATACAACTAAGGTGGACAAGAAAACAAAGGACACTCACAGCCCATCCACCTATGCCAACAGCAAAACTCTTTTTAATAGTCTTGTGAAGGGTCCTTAGGACAGCTGGGTTTGCTTGTTTTATTGAATCATCTTGGTGCCTAAGATCAGAATACCTTGACTGATGTCTTTGCTAATTTCAGCTAATTTGCAGCTCACCCAAGGAAAACAAAATTCATGGTTTCCAAACTGCAAAAATATTCTCATTTTGCCTTCTTTAGATGAGATTAATCCCTTACTTTTTTCCCTTATGCACAAGAAAATAGTGTACAAATAATTAACTATAAGTTTTCTTTGAATATTAAATTCTAACATAAAATTTCATAAAACCTGAATATGTATTAATCCAAAAAGAAAACAGCAATCAATTCTAAAAAGTAGAATTAATGTAGAGAATATATATACTCATGAAAATGAAGTGAACAAAATACACAGGACCAAAAATAAATAAATTCCAGACAATCCTTGGATCAGTTAAGAAATCCAAACTAAAATTTCAGAGTATCTAGAAAATCACTGTAATGAAAATTCTACACATCAGGAAGCCTGAGATAAATAAAAGAGTGTTCAGAAGAAATTAACGTCCAGCTGAAAAAGTTTGAGAAAGAACAAAAAAACAGAAGGAAAGAAGATAAAAGCAGAAATTAAAGAACTATAAAGGGGGAAAAATACATCCTGTAATGCAGACACAGCTAGACAAAAGAAAATAAGGATTAAAAGTTTGAAGGATGTAAAATTACTACTATTTGCAGATAAGATTGTACACCTGCAAACTCCAAGATAAACAAGTGAAAAACTATTAGAGATAATAAGGATTCAGCATATTGCCTGGGTACACAACTACAAGAGCTTTCTTCCTTATAAACCATGAGTTAGATTTCATGAAAGATGTACTCGATTGTAATGGCAACCAAAAGAAGAAAAAATGCATAGCAATAAATATAAGAAATGTCCAAGATAACATGAAGAAAGCTTTTAAATACTTGAGACACAAAAGAATACTTGAACAAGGCATACCATTTTCTTTAGCATCAACATCATAAAGATGTCAATTTTCCTTAACCTACAGATTTAACCATCTCACAAGCCTCTATTTTTAATAAGCTAAACAAGCAAGAATAACCAGAAAAAGTATGAAAAAGGATAATGAAGACAAGGTCCCCAGCATATTAAAATATATTATAAATCTGCAATAATCAAAATACTATGGTAGTGGCAAATGAGTTGACAGATAATTCAATGAAACAAAATAGAAATTCCAAAAACAAACCTAAACATGTATGTTTAATATGTGATAAAGGTGGCATCACAAGTCAGTACAGGAAAGTATGGACTATTCAATAAATTGAGTTGGGGCAAATGAGACACCTGTAAAAATAAAATTGTTCCCCATCTCAAAATTTTAAATTTTAATCATAGCAGTCATGGAAGCATTATTTTATAATCTCAAGGAGGATATAACCTTTCAAAGTACATATAAGAAATCTAGAAGCAGTAAAATTTAACTGTATAAATTAATTTTTTTTCTGCATGGCAAAAATCACCATAAAGTTAAAAGACAAATAACAGCTTGCTCAAGTATTTGCAATTTCCAGGCAAGGGCTAATTTTCTGTACATATAAAGAGGGAATAATATAAACAGGCAATTCCCA